GAGAAATGAATTTGTCTAGGGCAGTAGGTGTCCTTTTTTAGCTTGGAGTGTAGCTCACAGAGATCGAAACAGGTCAGCTGAATCAGATCCGGACAATATCCACCAATCAATTTTATTCTTGATGCAGAAAGCGTGTTTTTTTCCATGACAAGTCCAGTTTTCGCTAGAAAAAGCATGAAAATCTCACCGTTTTTATTGATCCAAATTAATTTGCAATTTTTTTTCGATTGATCCATCCCAAATCGTTTCGATCTTTGTCAGAGAGTCTCGGACTGACTCTGAAGCTGCCCTCTTCCAAATGTCAGCGTATTTTGCTCATATAAGTTTACCAAGTGGTTGGAACCTAATTCTCACTAGTATACCAATAAAGATGCCTCGACACTCAACACAAATGAGACTGAACAGATGTAATTTTGAATGAAAGAACTTTGAGGATCTTCCCTCGAGGAGTTGACGATTAGTACTGGCTTTGACTGTGCCTAACAGACTGTTAGTTGAGTTTAAAACTCCAGTGCTGGCGAATCAGCCATAGTAAGTATTCATTATACAAACAACGGTATTTTTAGTATTATAAAATAGTTTTCTTAATCGTTATTTTTTCTTTTGTTCTTTTAGTTTCGTTTTAATAGTGAAAATACATCACAATTAATAAAAGTTTTAGATCAACAACCACGTCAACAATCAGGACCACCTGTTGTAACAACCGCTGCGGGTCAAAATCGTCAACAAATAATAAAACGCAATAACGTACCATACAATAAAAGACTTTCACCACCTATATCTGAGGTAAATACGGCACTTAGAACAGATTATGAAACAAGGATTGATTGTACAATAACAGACGCAATGAAAGAAATAATGGCACGATTAGGTTCAACACATATTAATGTAGACGACCATCTTAAAAAACAACAAAGACGAATAACTAATGAAACAAATTTGGTTATTCAACATATAATAACTGAGCAGCATAATGAACAAAGCCGTTTATTAGAACATATTAATAAGAAACAATGTGCAGTCGAAGAAAAGTATCAACAATTACTAGTACAAGAAATTAAGAAATTAGATAAATCAAAACACCAACAATTAGATAGTTTAAAAGAAGAATTGAACAGATACCAAGGAGCTATAATACAAACTTCAGAACATAAAATGAGGTATTTAAATCAACAAACACAACAAACAAAATTGTTTATTGTAGAGCAGGCTCTAGAAGAAGCTAGTATTAAAATGAATAAATTACACAAAGAAGTACAAGATGTTTCAATTGATGATCGACTACAGCAAATGCAGAGTACAGTTGATACAAAGATAGCCACAAATAGTAGAACACCTGGGTAAAACAATCGAGCGTATAAAAAAACCGCAAATTGCTGTTTGCACAAAACTTTTAAAAATAACATTTTCTAACGTATTTTGGGGGCGATTTTCTTTTGACAGCTTGAATTTAGAAAGCCCGTATAAAATTCCCTTACCAGACTAATGGTTTTAAGCAAAACAAATGTTTAGTTTTCTTAAGTATGCTAACTGAGTAGAAGTATTCTTTTGACCTACACCATTACGGACAAGTCTCGTATCATTTCCAACTCAAGAACACAGGATTCTGGGAAATATTTTCGAGTGTTTTGGGACAAAATGTATTTTTTTACGAATTCACTCTCGACGTGGGGTAAATAAACAAATATGTCATCTATTATCAGCGAATACGCCTCATTACCGCACAGCTAAACTTTTTACAAAAATCCAAACACTAATGGACTTATAACAAAATTTTCTATTGTGTATTAACTTGTCAAAAAGTTAAATTATTACGACGATGATGTGCTGTTGGACTAAACTTTTTTGTTCCGGTCGTGTGAAACTTCAGAAGTCATGATCGAGATATCGAAAAACGTTC